GTTCTCTAGTCTCTCTCGTTCTCTCTCTCTCATTTCCTTGGGTCCCATAAAGATAGAAAAAAGTTTCTTGTAAATCTTTCATGCATCTAACATAATCTCATCAACATCAAGAGTAGTAACTCTGAAATGTTAATAGAGAGTAGCAGTAAATCTAGAATTTGAATCTTGACAATTTCTTGAGCCTAGACTATAAGAGATTTATCTCTCATGAATCCCCTAGTCTCAATATGGATGACATGTCTTTGATCGGACTGAAAAGAGAATTAATCAAGGTATGCGTAAGTTAACCTGAACACTCTTCATCGTCTAATCAAAAAAAAAAATCTGATCTAAAGTGATAAGGGCCTATGGATAATATAATAAAAAAAGTCATCCTTATAAGTTTCTATTTTTAATCCATATAAAACAAATAACAAACGTTTTCTTTTATAAAACAATATTTGTCATTGGCCCTTTAAAAGTGTTATCAGATAACATTAGATGAAAGAAGATAACATTAAGCAAATATCAATTTTCTTTGCAGGCTAAGGCAAGAGGCAACAACTAATTTGGTTCTATATGGCTGATTGCATTATCCTATCCTTTCTCTCCACTACACTTTTGGTTGTTGTCATGGAAAGATCCAAAGGGTGGTAAAGAATGAGCAGTTCTATGTTTAACAAAAAAATATACTAACAATATTTATCAAATCATTGTGAATGGTTAAATTAGTGAAATATATTAATTTTTTTAATCAAATTTATTGATTCAATCATTTATTTTCATTTAGTAAATGCGTTGGTAAACTTTCGCGGTTGAATTTACGATCCTCGGCCATCTTTTCCTTTCAACTATGTGAATTCACCTCAGTGTTTCTAATTGTTTTGTTTTCTTTTTTTCCAATGTTAAAAGGAACAATAGAAGAAAAGGTTGTCCAGCCAACGAAATTGACAAAAATATATTTTTTTCGGGGGATTATGTTCTTAGGAGAAAATAGTGATAATTGTCTCTTGATAACACATCATAGTGATGATTGCCTCTTGATAACATATCATTTCTCTAATGATATGTTTTATAGGGTGGATAGAAAGTAGGAATAATACACTTTTTATTATTCAGTGAATTCTCCGTTCCCTCTTTTGTATTTTTGGTAGTAGGGATAACAAGTAAGAAGGATAGAATTTTTTTTTTTTTTTTGTGTTTGCTAAGAAAAAAAAGTGGAAGGATAGAAAAAAGTATAGATGCATATTTTAATATTATATTTATAATTAATGCACATATAATATATAATAGATAAATAAGACATATACATATATTAAATAATATAAAGGAAAGATAATATACATTTTAACACACATAATTAATTTTTTTGTATTTCTCTTTTTTACCAACTTTGGATTGATAGATTTTGGTGAGTAGGAATAAAAGTTACGTCATTCAGTTTTTCATCTTTCATATTTATTTTCTTAATCAAACATAACATTTTATCTACATTTTAACTTTTTAAATATGTTATTTTTTTATCATACTAAACAAAATATAAAAAAATATCAAAACAAACAGTACGTGTATGTGTGTATATATAAATGGGCAATGTTACATGAACTTAACATGCAGACTTAAAATATAGACATGATCAATCATTGTAACTGATTTTATTGTGAGTCTTAATATTTATTAATATCACTACCTATTCCATGATTGTAATTGATCAAGTTTATATTTTAAATTCACGTAATATCTTTCATATATATATATATTAGTCATAACCTGTGCCTGAAGGCACGATAAAATATAAAATTCGAGTGTCTAAAAAATTGATCCTACTATATTAAATTTTTTCAAAATATATTAATTACAAATTAATTAAATACTAAATGATTAAACAGATCATATAAATGAGTGGTATAATATTTTTAAAGAAGAAATATATAAATAATTAAATATGTGATTGAAACGAGTGATGCGATTTGACGTTTGAATTTGACAAAAGGATGATGGGTGAGGTAAATGATTAATGATGATTTTGAGTGAAAAAATATAACTAAAATAAAATTTAAACACATTCTTGTTTTATTATATAGATATATTTTGTGAATAGAGACGCCGGCCACTTGGCCCGGCCTTCCACAGAAATAATAAAAAAAGGCCTTCGAACTTGGCATCACATGGGGAAAGGTGGTCCTCAAGTGAAGGAAAGATAACTTGGGGCTGGCGTTGAAGAAAGGAATGGGGGAGAAAGTATGGGGAAGGAAACACAAGGGAATGGGGCAGAAAGGATGGATCGTAACGTGAGCCGTTAAAACAAACGTAAACGACCTTATTTTTATCCCCTTCTATCTCCTTCGAAAGTGATTCCCTCTCCTCTCTCCTCTCTCCAATACACACACATTAAAAAAAGAGAATCAACAAAACCCACAATCATATGCGACTCCATTCCATCAAGTGAAACCCAGCTTTGGTTTTGGAACGTTGGTTTCACTTACTGGTGGTATTGGTGTCACTTACTAGTGATATGACAACGGTTTGTCACATCTCACATCACTTCATTCCATCAAGTGTAACCCAACTTTGGTTTTGGAACGTTGGTTTCACTTACTATTGGTTTGGTTTCACTTACTAGGGATATGGCAACAGTTTGTCACATCTCACATCAATTAAGGGATGGTCTATGCCACTAGGGTTATAGAATCTTACAAGATTTTTTATATAATAGCTTAATGTTTTGAATTGCAAGGTCACGACAGTCGAATCTAATGAATTACCACCCTATCGATCATGTGAATCTTCCATTGAAATACCCGGGTCAAAGTAGGATTAGGTCAGATGAGCCCTCCTCTCTACGGAATAGAGCTGAATGCGACAATCATGATTCTAGACAATTTTACACCTAAAATTTTTAATTGCGAGACTATGATAAGTTAATTTATATCTTTGAAATTTTGAGTGGGCGCTATTCCGTCTCATAAATATTCATCTATATTCGGTTAAATTGTCGAGTATGAAACTAGTAAATCCATATTATCTTATACTCTCCTCATCAATGACAGATCTATCCCATTCTAAACCCAATCCCCTCTACACCAAACAATTTTAGGGAAAGATGCATTGTTTCGTAAAGTCAAATATGTGAAATTGATTATCTATTAGATGCGATTCCATGGCCAAATAAGGTGATCTGGTAGAAGAATATGGAGCACTGAATGAGTATACATAGTTTGGACTCTGCTCTGTCAAGCATGAGGTATCAATGCTCATTTTGCAGGAGGGAAAACCGGGGGTAGGGCGGTGAAAAGGATCACAGAAAATTTATTATAATTTCATTCAATTTTATTGTTAGATCGCCAACTTTTAAACAGTAAAATCTATTTAAATTTATGGTATACGATCTAAAATAAAGTCAAATTGAATAAAACTATAATGCTAATAAACTCATTTTATTTAAGAGGGTGAAAGTTATACATTAAACATGTTTATTGGTTGAGTGTAGATGTGGGTGAATTTAGTCCGTAATGAAGTGCACGTAAACAATACCTTTCTTCTCCTTTTCTCACTTGTGGGTAGTAAGCTGAGCCAATCAACCTCTACGGTTCTTTATATGGCAATGAACAGAGTAGTGCTCTCTGTCTTTCTTTTTTTTTTTAAACAGCATGGTGTCACAATCTAATATAAAATCTAAAAAATAAATAAAATGAATCTCATTTTTTTTTTCTAAAAGGTAATATAAATCTCACTTATTTACTTAGATAAGTGTTTTTTTGGGTCATGATTAGTGTTACTGGTGAAAAAAAAAATATTGGATATAATCGTTACACCACACCTGTAGTGTTACATGATATAACCGTTTACAAAAAATTAAACAACAATGCTACATCCGCTAAATTTTATATCAAATTTTGAATTATAAATCAATGTAAATCATAAGATCAATATGTCTCAAAAACTTTTACCAACTATTGAATGCCTATTATTGTGCCACATCATGATTATTATTGTGCCACATCACTTGAAATTCTGGTAAAATTCATAACTACCCAGCCATAATAACATAATCACCTCCATGATCAGAAATGAGTTTCATTTTATCTATTTTGTACTTTTTTTATTAAATAATTACATCCAATATTTACTCGCTATAGGGACCTATATAACTAGCATTGTTAAACTAACGATACGTCAAGCGATAGAGTTCCAATGAAAAAATCTAACATGTGCTATCATAACAGTTTTATTAGATCGTGTCACTATCACATTATTAAATTAATAAATTATGTCATATTTTTAGGTCCTAATAACTTTATATGGTTATTGAATTTGTTGATCAAATTTTTAGATTCTAATAATATTACGGGATTATTGAATTTTGTAAAATTTGTTTTTCCACTTATTCAATATTTGAATTTTTCATAAATATATATTTTCTTATTTAATTTAATGATTACTTGATTAGATTGAGTTGAAATTCAACTAGCATCCGAATTTTTTTTTTTTAATCAAATTTAAATATAACTTAATATAGTGATTATTTTTCGGCCTACCGGTGATGGCTCCTCCAGTACCAAAGGACACCTAAGGGTAATGGTACTATACGAATCCCAAGGAAGCAGCACTCGGACCGTACAGTGAAACGGACCCCATTGCCATATACTTCCACGTGGCCCAAGCAGTTCACGGTTTATACGTGACACGTAGACACCCGTCCAGTCCACGCTTAAAAAAGCTCACACTAAAGCCGTCTCCACCGGTGACGCCGCTTCATTAGCAGCCCTCGTCACGTGCAAACTCCACGTGTCTCTACGAGATCATTTTTCGATATATATATTTTTAATTCTCTTTTTGATGGATTATTGATCATTAATTCGCAACCGTTTACGTTTACTCGACGTCAACGCCGTCACTGAACTAACGGTGCCCACCCAGCTATATATAAATAAGATCCGCCATACAGACTCAAACGAAGCGATTTAACTTAAATGCTTCAGTGAAGCGCTGAGTACAACAAACCAGTCCGATTCGAAACCATGAAAGCCGTTCTTGTGCGAACCGGTTCAGTGCCGGTCCTATCTTCGTTTGTGTGCGGTTCACCGAGAGTGTCTCTCTCCGTTCACGACTCGATTTCCGGTGAGAAAAGCCACGTTTCTTCTCCGAAGATTGGTCTGCGTTTGGAGGTCAATCGTCGGAGCGTTATGCGAAGGGCTTTGTCGGAAACAGATGTTGTCAGATTGGAAAGTGAGGCTTCCGATAAGTTCTCGAAGTTGAGCGGCATCGGATCGCTGTCTTTTCCGGGGAAAATACCGGAGGAAGAGTATGTAGAAAGCGAAGATGAGGTGGTTTTTAGAGGAATTGGATCTTTGACTTTGACGGGGAGAGATTTTGATCGGAGGAATTACAAAGAAGATTGGCCTGCAAGTGCGATTCCGGTTGAAGAACTAGGATTTCCAGGCGTTGGAGGTGGTAAAAACCGGAATTCTGGCGGTCGCGGCGATAGTGATTGTGAACTCGGAACCGGTGGTGGAAACTCCGATCAGAGCAAGATCGGTGCATATTATCAGGAGCTGCTAAAGTCAAATCCTACGAATCCTCTGCTGCTTAGAAACTATGGAAAATACTTGCATGAGGTACACTTTAAAATCACCTGCTTAGTGTTCAATCTATTCTCAGATCACTTGATGCTTATATTGAGATTTTGATTGATTTTCATTCTCTGTTACGTAAAGGTGGAAAAAGATACGGCTAAAGCGGAAGAGTACTACGGTAGAGCTATATTGGCGAGTCCTGGAGATGGAGAAGTGCTATCATTATATGGAAAATTGATTTGGGAGACACAGAGAGACGAAGATAGAGCCAAATCATACTTTGATCAGGCTGTTCACGCCTCCCCTGATGACTGGTACATCTCTCTATCTCCCTCAAGATTTCTGAATCAAAATTTCATAATTCAATTCAATGATTTCTTATTCCATCTCTCTCTCTCACATCTATGCTGGTTAGATCTGAGTTATTAATTCGAATCCTATTGTTTTTGCTCGTGGAAATGACAGTACGGTGTTGGGATCGTACGCGCACTTCATGTGGGAAGCAGAGGAAGAGGAAGATGAAGATGAAGATGCGGAAGAAATAGAGAGAAAGGGTGAACAGTCGGCGACCATGGTTGGAGCTTTCTAGCGAGCTGTGCAATTGACAAACTGTAATGGTACTAACAGTTTTTTTGCAGAAGCATAACTAGTGTAAAAAGAGGAATAATCTGACTCAACCCTCCTCCTGTATGCTACTGGGAGGACTCTGCATGACGAGGAATAAGAGAGATAAATTATGTATTTGTGTGTGTGTGTGTGTTTCTTTTGCCTTTGATTTGATTTGATGTATGTACAGTGTGATCTCTTCAATCTTTATAATCTTTTTTCCTCTTCGATGTAAAATTCTAATTCAAGTTTATAATAATGTTGTTTTAAGCTTATATGAATATGACAATGACAGTGAATTGTTCATAAAACGAGGAGACTCTTAGCACGGTTGGGCTCCTCTGCTGCACAGCATGTGCAAGGGCTCATCTGCTGCGTAGCAGGGATGGGGGTGTTGTTCCCAAAATGATGTCATTTTACACATAAAATAAAATTATTTTATATATAAAATGACATCATTTAAAGGAACAGTTCTGTCTCCAGTTTGCCGGCCTATAAAATCTTTAAAATTGATCAGTCAGTTGGCTTAATTTAGTTATTTCTTTTTATTGAAAATGAGTCTACCGTCTGCACGATCCGCGTTATCATTTAAAAATAGGTTGGTTAAGGCTGCTGATTGTGCCAGGAGCGGCCCAGATATTTTTAATTTAAAGTAGAAACGATAAATAAGATATTTTAATTTTTTATTAATATTAATATTAGTAATTAATTTAAATTTTTTATATTCAATCTTTTGTTATTATATTTGAACTTGATGGAGAGAAGAATGATTGAAAATATTAATTGAACTATATATTATTATACACCTATAAATTATGGATTCTTCTTTTTAAGTGATGCCTTAATTTTTTTTATTGGATAAGATTTTTTTTTAAGGCTTAAAGTATTTATGAATTTAATTTTTTTATATAAATTATTTATAATATTTAAAAATTTAAAACTTTCTTTAAAAATGGCACTTAAAACGCAAGCTTATTTAAAATTACAGCTGAGCCGCCCTGGATTGTACTTAGGTCTACCTTCCCACGATATGCCGTAAAAAGCAGAGAAGCTGTGTGCCCCTCTCAACATCGCAATATAATGAACCAAGCATGGGACAAAAAATGACAAGACAGGTATCGCAATGTAATGAGTGAGCCAATCATGGACAGAAATATGTTATGGCCCACAGAGTGTATTTAAAACCACTGTTGAGCCGCCCCTGGGTTGTACTTAGGTCTACCTTACCACGATATGCGGTACAGCAGAGAAACAGTGCCCCTATCAACATCGCAAGATAATGAACCAAGCATAGGACAAAAAATGACAAGACAGGTTCCCCATTCAGTGTTGGCTCAATAATGTAATAAAAAAACTTGGGCTTTATGCTCATTTTTAAAAAAAATTAAATCCAAAATATTTTAAATTAATTTTAGTTATGAAATTAAAAAATCTTAAAATTTTTTTTAAATAAAAAAAATTAATGGTAAACTAAAACTACTAAAAACTTTAGTT